ATCAGGGAACACAGAGGGAAGCCTATTATCCCGGTGTGATTATAATGCAGACAGATAGACGACAGGTAGGCAGAGTGGATAAGAGCGTTAGCTCGCGAGACGTGAGGAGCTGACAAGAAAGACAATCTCCCTCCTAAACTGGAGAGATAAGGTTGTCAGACGCAGCTCTGACTCTGACACACACACGCACACACTCATAAACACACTGTGCAGATACTTCCATAGATGATACTGTGTAAGAACTACAAACACACCTTTAACCCATTTGTGCCTGAATTTCCATCATGCTTTTATGCACTCATTGACTCTCACCTGAATGTGTTCTGCAATTATTTGCTCCAGTTTCTACTCTTTCATAGAAAATCTAATTTGAATGTGTAATAACCATTGTTCAAAGCGGGCACTTAAACCCACGACAACAGTGAAGTTTGTATTAATGAAGCAAAACTGAACGATTATATTTTTAAAAGCTGTCTTTAAAAAGGAAACAATTCCCCTTTCAGAAATCGTGTGAAAACAAGCTGATTATTTTGCAAATTTGAAGTATTCATGAGAAAAGAGAAGTAGCTGCAGGGCCACAGGATTAGTCTAAAGTATGGTGTAACTCTCTAGGGTTATAATGAGCACAATATAGGCAGTATGGCTGACCATGTGTTCACAATGATGCTTTGAAAAAAGGTAAAGCTTTTTTGCAACTATTTTTGAAGTGCTTAAACTTGCAGTTCCTTTAGTGTCCTCTAGGGGCTGATTTAAAAGCAGCAAAAGGCACATACACACTCATTCAAAACATACAGCAAAAATATATATTTTATTTTTAAAAAAGTGTGGTTTTAAAAATAGGTCCAAGTAGCTTATTATTCTGTGTGCAGAGTGTTTTTTCTGTCTGTTTGAGGGTATAAAAGTTATGAATTTAGCATAACCAGAGGCAAGGCTGAATGAGTGACGGATTGACTGTACATGAACGTGTTAAAAAATTTAATCATTGTGTTGATCTGACTGAAACAGGACTCGTGTAAGCACAGTAATCTGTCTGAAATTAAACTAAAATCTCTTTCTCATTCTCAATCTGACTCAAATTGGACCGATTTACCTAACATAAACCTGTTGTGAGCAATAAAACCTTAACAGAAGTGAAAGGAACATAAGATGTTTGTATAGTGATGTAGAGTTGTCGTCATTTGACATGTTAGCCTCTTGTGAACATGTTTGTTGATTATTTCGGTGCGTTATGTAAAAGGTCAACCAGGAGAGTAAACTGAAATAATGCATTTCATCGTTTACCGTAGTGAAGGTGGGCATACTTTTGTTAATAACCTGATTCTCACACACAGTGTTTGTAGATGAGGACAATTGTCCAGTTAAAGGGCCTAACTGAGCTACACCTGTGCACATAAAGGTACTGACCACGGCTGTTAAAGTGGAGGTCCACCTGTACTCCACCTCTCTGCCAATGGTTACGTTGACCTAAATTGAGGTTGAGTCAACTCTCCTAACCCGGCCCCTGCCTTCTTTGGACTTCAAAGGTCTTCTTCAGAAACCAGCGAGTGCTGACACTGAAGCCGGGTCTGTGTTTTTTACAGTGTATGGGCTCAGATGTTATCAGGCGCAGCCTGTCTGCTTGTGTTTGTGCCTACATTTCTCGTGTAAGCGCTCGCACTTTCAACTGAAAAAAGGATTAGTGTGTGAGTGTGTGTGTGTGTGTGTGTCAAAGACAGAGGGAGAGGCAACCGCACAAAGATAAATGAGGAAGTGTGAATACATTAAGTACACTGTGTAGATATTGTTTGTGGACCTTTCAGCTCAAGGAAATCCTTGTTTCAACATTCAGTCCTGGCTGGAATGTTGCCTGCGAGGCTCTTTTTAAGTGTTTGGGTCTAAATGCCATGTCTGCTACACCCCATGAAACTGTCTTAATCCACTTTTTTCCTTTGGTTTTATTACTGCTGGAGAAAACACGAGGGGTAGAGCAGAGCCCCAGCCTCAGGCCTCTATTCCCATTCCACACACCCCATAAGTCAGTCACAGATAATTAAATAGGAGTTATTTACACTCGTTTCCCTCCTCTGCCTCTCTGGCGCTTTTATCATTTCTTTCTCCTTCTCTTTGTACAGTACAGCACGAAGCCAGGCCTTGTCAGAGTCTGGCTGACACCGGTGAAGGCCTGTACAAGTATAATAACATGAAAAGAAGAAAAAAAATGAGACTCTTATGAGCACACATCAATGTCAGCCCCTCATTAAACAATCACACAGAGCATCTACATCACGCTAATCCCAGTGTGCGCCGCAGAACGCCTCAGCACTTCTAAACACAGCGAGAGACAAACGAGCAGATGAGGATTTGTTTGAGCCAGGTTTGAAGAATTCAGCTGCCTAATGTCAGCATTATATATTTACTCTGGAGTCAGGCAAACAGCAGCCTTTCAACACGGGGATGAATTAGACCTCGCCACGGAGCTATGGCGTCCATTATGGGCCTCAGTGGCTCTATAAATCATAGGATCACAGGGGCATGTGGGGTCTGCTCCTCCTCACTCCTCCTCGGCCCTATCAGCTCCATCCTGGGGGTTAAGTTTGGCTGCAGTTCCAGCCAAACAAACTGCTTTGATACCGCCATGGAAAGGCATGGAAATGCCCTGAAGGCTCGCAGGACCTGGACATGCTGGGAAGCCTCTTTAACGGGAAAGCTGTCCCCTTAAAATATCCACAACAGGAAACAGCCATCAGTCATCGACACGCCAAAACAGCTGTTACCAGCCGACATCAAGGGGACACATAAAAGGAGTCGCTCCCTGTTGTTTGAGCCCTCCCTTGTTTCATTCTCTTGCTGCCTTTGTCTGGCTTTTCCCCCATGCCCTCCTCTTTGGTCTCCCTTTAAACGCCCCCTTCCTCATGCAACTCCACCCACACTGCAGCGACTCACCCACTCACCCTTTTAACATGTGGATGACTGTGCGATAAACAACAGAACAATCGGAAATCTCACAACTTAACTAGCAGTCTGCGCCGTAAACAAACGTCTGAAATTCCCTTTAAGCTCCCGGCGTCACCTTTAAATCCTGGAGTGAGAAAGCAGTTGTTGCACGTCACCTGTTTATGTGTCTTGGCCCGAGGTGGTGACAGAGAGTTTTAAACAAACAGCCGGATTCAAAAGAAGACTGTAGTGTACTTAGCTAAGCGACATGCGCGTCTGCGCTCACGTATTCTTGGATCTCTGCAGGTCATTGGAGCGTGAGTGGCGGTGTGTGGGTGATGATTGATGGCTGAGCCTAATGATGACAGGTCAAACAGTGATGCTGTTGAGTGATTCTGAAGTGACTTCATCCTCCTCAGACAGCTTTTCCTCTCAGCTGCAGACAAATAGCAGCAGCCATTAAAACCGAGGAGTAGGGCTGATGACAGTTACAGTACGATAAGGCCAACTGGTGTTATGAAATGTCAACCAAAGTTTACCTATTATTAGGCCTCAGAAGAAAGGCTTGTTCTGCTTTTCTGTTACCAGTAATCAATGATCCATGGCCCCACTTTGGACAGATTGAATATAACTGTGGCTAATATGTTGGATTATAAATCAGTCAAGACGTTTAATCAGTTAAAGAGGTTTTTCAAACAGAGTGGAATTTCCCTACAAAACTCTGTGTTCTTTCTGGAAAATAAAAATCAGGTTACTGGACTCAATAATATGACAAGCAGGGACCTACTACTCTGTGTTCCATGCTTCTACATGAGCTGGGGTAAAACTTTGAAGGTGGTAGTGATGTTACACATGTTGGGGAGTGTTTTGAATGTAAACTATACACAACTCTAAATCCATTTCAGCTTTCCAACAGTTTGAGGTAACAAGCTTGAACTGTGGACAAGCTGTTTTAACACAAAAATTGTCTGTGTACAGAGCGTCAGTTTTTATTTGTGAGTCCATGTGATGATTTTACACCCCCCTTGAGTCTGTCTGCAGCAGGCTCAGGTCCCCCTAGGTCACTGCACTCGTGGATCATGATACAGTTTCCTCTTTGCATGGCAGAGTTTTAATCTAAACTGTTCACAGATATTGGTTTTTAGATGATATGTGGTGATTTCCACTGCAGAGTCATGTCTGGTAATAAAGAAGTGCTGCTTAAAGGCCCTGAAATAACATTTACAGCTTTGTTTCTCAGCTTTGTCCTCTTTTGTGCAGTGATTTCTCCAGATTTTCTGAATCTGTTAAGGATTTCGTGTCCCGCAGATGATGAAATCCCAAAATTATTTGCAGTTTTGCACCTGGCAATACTTTTCTGGAATTGCAGAATCGTTTACTCACCCGGTCATGGTGAATCTCTTCCCGTCTTTACCTCCAGTGGACTCGGCCTCACTGGAATCATGTTACTGAGTCACTAACCTGTTGTGGATTAACCTCATTAGTTAAGAGATGTTCCTGCTGGCATCTTTTAGATGACTTTTTAGTGTTTTGTCGTCCTTATCTAAACTATTTTGGAGCATATTGTTGGCATCAAACACAATGAGTTTATCTTTTTCTCAAAATTATAAGTTCCTCAGTTCTTCAAGTTCTCTTTGAACTACTTTAATTTGAATTTAGGCTTTACATGATTTACAAACCTTAAAATTTTGTTTTTATCAACATATTACACAACGGCCCACTTCTTATGAAACTGGGGTTGTGTATCAAAATTGAATCTTGTCAATTTGCCTTTTATCTGGATAACAAACTTGACTGTGGTCGCCCTGATACAATAAAGTCATTAACATACCCCTCAAATCAGATGACATCAAGTTATTCACTTAAGTGTAATCTGCTGATTTTAAAGGCATGATGGAGACACTTCAGACAACTTCAAACGGTATTGACTCTTCATGATGCGATATCTGTGATCAAGTTTTAATATTCTGTATGTTTAGTGCGCAGGTTGCTCTCAGGGGTCAGTGACACAGATCTGGAGCCGCTCATCACTGTCGGACCATGAGGGCGAGGCTTGGAGACAAACCGCACCCCCTCTCATTGTTCCGCCTCTGCTTGTGAATGCGGAGACTTCTGATTGGACAGCGGCTCGTTGCTTTGAAATCCCTCCCTCACGTCGTTAGTATGTGGAAGAAGTAAGGTACTGTGAAGCTGCTGCAGAGGGAGAGAGAAACTCACGCCGGAGGACCGTCTCTTACTCCAGCCACTGCAGGGAGATCCGTCCACTTGTTCCGTCTTTTGATGAAAAGTGACTTATTCTGTTGCTCTTTTTTTCCTCCTCGATTTCTCTTGTTTTCAACACCGCTTAAGGAATATTTGGGAATACCAAACCCTTGTTACTAAAGAGCCTGATAGAGGATGACATTTGGGCGATTTGTTCGTCTTTGAAATCAGCCTTTGGTCCCAAACGTTGGACGCGCATTGGGCTCGTGATTTTGGGATTACCGCACTACTGAATTGCTCATCATGAATCGTGCTGGTTGATGATTTGCGATCCTGTGTCCACTCGTTACACGCCGCCGTCCTATTTCGTGCTCCGATCCAGATGAGAGATCCCCCCGCTGGAACTGAAACGCTTTTACGCAGCCAGTCCCAGGAGCGCAGCGCCAACGACGCGAGCGGTGATCTACACCGCATCGGAGCGGAGAGACCATCCGTGTTCACGGCCACATCTTGTCCCTCTCCCGCTGATCCCTCGCGCCAGGCTAAAAGGCTTCCTATCCGGATCCTAAAGATGTTGACGGCGCACAGCGGCCACTTGCTGCACCCGGAGTACCTCCAGCCTCTCACGTCCGCGCCAGTCAGCATTGAAGTAAGTAATTAACAAATACGTGATATGTTATCCAACATTTGTCGGTTTCTGCTGAGGGTGGGATTCGGCCAAATGTTATGGAATTAATGCACCGTGTGAGCAGCTTTGGGAATTATTTAGAAAAATAAACACGGGATCTTATGCGCCATTTTACGCACAGCGATTTAATGGCAAGTTCGTCAGACACCAGAGTTCAGTGATAAAAAGAAAAGTTCTGCAGATAGAAAACTGACTTAAATTTAATAATATTATTCTTTTTTCAATAATATTACTCTACAGACAGAAAATATTTAAAACTTTACATAGAAAATGTTTAATGTGTATTTCTTTTTTTTCCTTTTGAACAACTCTGCTATCACTTTTCAATCCTTACCTTTAAGATACCACACTCAGGTCTAAACGAAGACCAATTTTTCTTGTTTTAATTATTCTTTGACTGTAAAATAAATATTTTTCTCGACATGATAACTCTAGCAGTCATACTCAGTGGATATTGATGTCAATGTTTTAACTGAATCTATTATAACTCAGTTTACTCATCTTTTCGCTGTCTTTTTTTAATCCCAGCTGGATGCCAAGAAGAGTCCCTTGGCCCTTCTGGCCCAGACCTGCTCTCAAATTGGCAAACCAGACTCGTCCTCCTCTTCCAAGCTGGCCTCTCTATCCTCTGGCAGTCTAGGAGACAAGGAGTCGTCCAACCGATCTTCCAAGCCTGCAGAGCAGCACCACTCCCTGGAGGACAAGTCCAGCTTCAAGCCTTACTCCAAATCGCCAAGCGACTGTCGCAAGGATGTTTCTGTGACAAAGGGGCCTTTGGATAAAGCAGCGTTCAGAGTGCCAAATGGAAGCTCCAGCAGTGGCACCGCTTCGTGTCCGTCTTTTCCTCCTCACTCCCAGTCACCCAGCTCCAGCTCTCCTCCCCTGCACACTCAGAGTCAGCCCCACAGACAAAGCCATTCTCCCCCCACACAGCCCCCACCGAACTCCCAGGCCTCGCACACGGACAACAAACCTGGGAACTCAGAGCAGGCTGCCTCGGACAGTAACAGCAATGGTGTCTGCAAAAAAGACTCAGATGCAGCTAAATCAGGGATGGATGGGGCTCAGTTAGCTAACTCGAGTCACATACGGGCCAGTGCCAACTCCAGCAACGCCAGCTCTGCAAGCAGCCCGCGGCCGGAGAGCAAGGCTGACCCACAAGCCTCCTCACAGCCAGGCTTGGGCTCTGGGCACATTGCCCCCGTCTCCCCTTTCAAACCAGGACATTCTGTCTTCCCCTTGCCTCCTGCTTCCATGGGCTACCACGGCTCCATTGTAGGGGCCTACGCTGGGTATCCCTCCCAGTTTGTTCCTGGCTTGGATCCCACCAAGTCTAGTTTGGGGTTGGGACTTCCAGGGAAGCACCCCAGCTCCAGCCCACTCACAGGAGCTTCCCCTCCGTCCCTGATGCAGGGTTTATGTCGGGACCCTTACTGTCTCACTTACCCCAATGCGCCTCACCTCGGAGGGAGTAACTGCTCCACCTGCGTCCATGATCCCTCCACCCTAAAGTCTGGTTTCCCCCTGGTTTACCCCTCCCATCACCTCCATTCCCTGCACTCCAGCGCACTGTCTTCCAGCACCACCCCCACACTGTCTCATCCCCTCTACACCTATGGCTTCATGCTCCCCAATGAGCCGCTGCCTCACGCCTGTAACTGGGTGTCGGTTGGAGGTCCCTGCGACAAACGCTTTGCCACATCAGAGGAGCTACTAGCCCACCTGCGTACCCACACTGCTCTGCCTGGGATGGTGGACAGTAAGTTGTTGTCGGCGTATCCTTCATCGGTTTCATCTACAGCTTCCTGCCACCTCCACCTGCCCCCACCCAGCAGCCCAGGCACCCTTCCCAGCTCTTTCTCCCTCAGAGGCTCACCTGGATTGGGCCTGGCTCGCTATCACCCTTATAGCAAGTCCCACCTGCCCGGAGCCCCAGGGCTTCCCATGCCATCCCTCCCCTCCTCGTCAGCGTATTACTCCCCCTACGCGCTCTACAGCCAGAGACTGGGCTCAGCCTCAGCGCTCGGATACCAGTGATACCCCAAATAGTGTTGATGCCACAGACTGCAGGCACCAGCTTGGACGCTCCACGGCGGTCCTGAAGATGGATTCTTGAAATAGGGGTCATCACCGGTACAGGGCATCGTGCCCACTGGCATGCCTGCCAGGAATACCACCTGTTAGCCTCAGGATTGTGACTGGCGCTGTGAAAGCAAAGATCCTGTGATGGATTGTCTGCAGCACAGAACCAACAGACTTTACCGATTAGAGATGGTGGGACACAGAGCTTGAAAATAATGGAATTGTGGGATTATTGCAACAGTCTTTGTTTTCTGTTTTATTTTACTCAATATCTGTCTCCCAGAACTGAAAGTCTGTATTTATTTTTCACTTAAGCGCTTGGTATTCAACTCTGGGGGAAAGTTTTGCTTTCCAAATAAATTGTTCTGAAGTATTGGAACTGAAAAGAATGATTTAATTATAGTACCATTATGCCTATCATACACTCTAAAAATAAAAACCTTGCACCACGAAGAAGATGGACTATGAGGCTTTATTCTGGGGACCTTTTTTAATCTCCTTTTAGCTCTGCTATTATTATTATTTTTCTTCTTCTTCTTCATCTTGCTCAGACTCTGGAGAATTGCATGTCCATGAGAATGATTTTAAACAATGCCATTATTTTTATTTGTAAATATGCAAAGATGTAATATTTTTTCAAGCTTGCTTGGGGTCAGCAAGTTTGGGTCACCCCTGCAAATGGTACAAAGATAAGAAAAAAAATGACATAAATAAAACTATTACTGATGGCTGTGCTATCAAACCAACAAGAAAAAGGTCTTATTTTGTTAAATAAATGTCACAAGATTGCATTGTAACTTGTGTTTTTTCACATTTCTCATAACTATATATAGCAGTGAGGTTTCTTTTTTGTCACAGGCGTCAGAGGATGAATAAATCTCGCTGCATCACACTACTTCTATCCATCATTACGGCTTTAACAGCTAGGCTATATGTGTAATATTTCATGGCTCATATCAGTTGACAGGGCCGTCCCAAAGGGGGCACGCCGGGTCACATTAGCCCTGTTAGCTTGTCTCTGAGGACTACCATCTCTCCTCCTCTCTCCATCACCCACATTGCTTTTGTTGTTGCTACTGCAGCTTTTAATTGCTGATTCGTGTTTTGCGAGGCTCGAAAAACAACCTCCTCAGCAGAGTGGATGGCTGTGTGGAGTGGCCGCCGGGGTCACTGGGACTTCAATAATGACCTGAGGGAGGTGTCGAGCCAGGATCTCCTCACAGGCTGACGGATTGGCCTGCAACACAAAGGCCAGAGCTGACAATGGGAGGCGGTTAATAGAGAAATATTCATCAAAGTCCCTGACACCTCCCCTGAGGAGCGCGGGCTCTCGTACAGGAACCGCAGACATGGAGGCCGCGCTGATGTGCAGAGCTATTTTCTTGCTGCGCTGGGGTCTAACTGAAGTCTCGACTCGGGGCTGTTAGATACTAATTCAAAGAGAAGGAGTGGGTTTATCTTAAAGCCACACGGCTGCCGTTCGAGTGTGTCGTCCCTGTAATGTCTCTGTATGTCCACTCTATTTGGCTGACAGGGTGTAGGTGGCACAAAACGAAGAGGCTGTAGTCTCCGAGGCGGCTATTGACCCCGACTCCTAGACTCCTCTACTCTCGCGGTTCATTAGCACTCCAGACAGGGGAAAGGCGAGCACAGGTGTCACTTGACAGGACCATTAACAAAATGGATGACCCTCCCAAACCACATCCAGCCCCTGCCACACCAGCAAGGTCACGGCGCCCTGATCACTGCTCTGGGTCGCTCTTTGGGACGCCGTGCTTATTTTTCTTCCTCAGAAACTGGAGCCATGATGATCTGTGACGCGGGACACACTTAACTTTCATGTCGCTGCTTTTTATGTCAGATTTTACAAAGAAGTCTGAACAAAATAGGCCATGGTTATTTTATTTTTAATGCTTCTTTTCACATTTAAGTGCAACATACTTCTTGGTGACTTGCAGCTGCTCCACCAGAATATGACTGGATTGTGTTGCCCTCTAAAGATGTGTCTGTGAAGTGCAGGTGAAATCAGAGTAAGAGCCGTCTTTGCTCTGATGTGGATAAATGTGGATCTGAGGATGCTCTCTTACAAACCGTAGATAAAGAGCTGGTTACATTGGCTCCAGTGTGAGGATGAGTCACACTGGAGGTCATACAGAGGGGAGAACTTTCAATCATGTCGGGGAGGTGGAATTAATCCCACTGTTGCCAGTTTACACTCGTTCATCAAATGCCTCACTATTCTCCCTATCCGTGCACTCATCAATCTCCTCCATCTATCGTCTTCCCCCACACACTCTCACAGCTGAGTCAACACCCACACACTCCATTTATGTCGCCTGTGAGAGGCTCTATGTGTGTGTGTGTGGAAGTATGTGTTTTCAGCCCAAGTCTTTTGTCCTCAGGGGTTAAAACTTAACTCACAGGATGAGTATTGTTTCATTCTTCACATATTACACAGTGTCAGCGTATTTTTAAATATGTGAATTTGAGAAAAATAATGAATTGAGGGAATTAAAAGTTGCGTCAAACATTTTTATCCAGTTGTTTTCCAACTGGAGTAAGCGCATGTACTCTTTCTCCTTCTATGTAAACTTTCTCAACTTTTTTTCTCAGGTATTTTTTCTTACAGTCCTTAAAATCACTCCACTGCAACAAAAACAAACAAAAAAAAAAAAACTTTTTGGTGGTAAAGTACAGAAGACGAGATTGGCCATGAATTTTTCCTTTTTCTATGCACTGTTGTCTCGTGATAACAACTTATCTCGAAATAAAGTTCGTTTTCTCGTGATCACGCATTATCTCAACGTTTCCTTGTGATAAAGGAAATGGCGTTTTAGCAGATCTCAAATGGTAACATTTAAAAACGTTAACCTCCAAATTGGGATATTTCTGAAACACCACAGCCGCCGTTGTCAACAGCTAACCGCGTTTTTCTATCAAAACGCTGATGTCACACTCATGGATACAGACGTGCACCCATAACGAGAGTGCTGATATTGACGACAAAAAAAGGCGCAACCAGTAATGCTGTTTTGCTAGTAGCCTAACTTTACAATGCGGAATGTCTTAAAGGTACATTCCCAAGTTTTTGATAGCACAAACTTGATAAATGGAGTATCCTGTCACAAGAGCTTCTTGTGAGCAAGAGCTTTACCAACAGGATTGATAAGCAAGGGAGCATTTCGGCTACAATCTGAGTTAAATATTGGTGCTTATATTTCCATTTTTGCCTTTAGACAACTCGTGGATACACAAGCAGAGCACACTTGTGCTTTAAAGCTCCTCTGAGGAACTTTCTCTTTGTTTTGACTCCTCTTCTCTTTGCCTATCTGGTCCTTGCTAATCTCAACCTGCTTCTTTTACTCATTGTAAATATTTGGGGTGGGAAAATTAAGACTTTTTCTTTTGCATGGTCTGACACTTACCTTCTCAGAGCAATTACAGACATTATGACAACACAGGAACTGCCCTATGTGTTTCTAACACTCTTGTTTGCTTTTGTTTGTCACATAGAGGCATCACTGTAAATTTCAGTCTGTATCATGATCTGTGAAAAACTCCCCATGGGAGCTTTAAGTCAGTTTTTCTCACCTTCAAAAGCTTGAATCCTCGTTGATGGTTAACATGGTCACTTAATACAATGAATTGCTTTGCTTGTGCTATTCTGAGAAAGTTAGGTTGTCCTCTGTGAAGCACACTGGGCAGAGCTGACATGTACAAGCATGAATTATTCACAGTCTGCTCCAGCCTGATCCTAACATCACTGCATGTCGATGAATACTTAAAAAAAGATACAGAACGGATATACGATCAGTAAAACTACACTTCTATACACTTCTGCGTGTTCGATTCTAAAAAGGTTTACAGTATCACCAGAGGCCACCATGTTTGTCAAAAGACAGTGCTGATTTAGAGGTGTCTCATGAATAGCAGTAATCAAAGAAGCAGTGGTATATATCAGCAGTGATAGTGATGCTGATGGAGGGACTAATATTTTCCCCCGTGTGCGTCAGCGCTGAAACGGTGCAGAGTGTCACTGTGAGGTCCTGAGCAGCCGGCTGACAGGCCTGGTGATTAATGACGACAGGGTGTGGAGCTGCTCTTCAATTAGACGCCAGCTCTACCCCGGCTCACCATCCCTGCTGACAGCTAGGACAGAGAGAGAGAGAGAGAGAGGGAGAGAGAGAGAGAGAGGGTGCTCAGGCCCGCTCTCACTCACTCACTCTCTGTGTCTCCAGAACAAAACATTAACCTCAGCTCCATGACTACCACCTCTGTGTTTAACATCAGGACACAATACAGAGCCCTCGGCATCCAACAGTGACCGCAGTGTTAAAGTAACCCAGATGGCGTGAACACATCGCTCATCAGGGCCTGTCACACACTTTCTGCTTTATTTCTCCACATAAACCCTGTGACTGACTACTTTACATGCCTGCTACAGCTCCCCTCTCATTCACATCTGCAGTCAGCCATGCTGCGGCGCTCGATGTGAAAACGACAGCGGCCACATTAAGGATTTCCAGGTTGTTTAACCGACTGTGTGCCGACTGATGAGATGGTTTGCCAAAGTTTAAGGAACACTAATGCTCTCTTGATTACAGAAATAAGAAAACAACAAGAACTTAACTTCTTTTTTTGTGGAGTACAAACTTTTTCAGTCATTGTTTATTATAATTTGACAACTTTACCACAAAATGCTGGTTGATGTCGTCCACTGAGAACAGAATTAAAGCTGCAGCAAACAGACGTTACAGGAAAATCAGGTTAGCAGCAGCAAATTATCCTGCATTAGCGAAGTACGGATGACAATTTGGGGCAAATTGCAAAGTGTCTAAGTCTGTGTCTGACATGCTCACAGATCTTAGTTTTTAGCCCCTTTTTCTTTGCAGAATAGTCCAGGGTTTGAAACATTAGTCTAAATAACAGCATGTAGGTAAATTCTGATTATTTACACATAGTTTATGCTCTAAATCAGAAAAAGCAAAGTAAGCCAATAAAACCAGTCAGATCAAGATATTTCAAAGACAACCCCAATTTAAAAAAAATTGTTAATGGTTCATCAAAGTAGGTTTTGAAGGTGTTGAAGACTTTTTTTTAACCTATATTTTATATTAAAGTGATCCAGAAACACTGTTGACTTCTCTGTCCTGTGCCCTGCCTAGCTTGTTCTCAAAGCACACGTCAACAACCAGCATCTTTGGTGGTACGGGGATGCGTAAGTGCCCATGGTGCAAGTAGCTAGCACAACCTGGAAAACACTGTTAGAGCAAAACAACATAAAAATTTAGATTTTTATGCAACAAATTCAACCATCCGGATGATGGCTAATGCAGGAAACTCTGTCCTTGTGCTACTTTGGGCTGTGTGGGCACTAAAACATTTGGCATAAGAAATAAAATAATGAAAGACATCCTGAAACTGTTTAGCTGTTGAAATCAACATTTGATATTTTGCCTCTGCGTTGGTTTTAATTTAACCTCCTGACTACCGTTAGTTCAAATTGTCGTCTGTGTAGCACCATTGTAAACCTCAACATCTCCCACCCACTGCATACTACTGAATTAACTCCTTTTGGTTTCTACAGAGGACATTTAGAGCTTTTCAATGATACCAAATGTGAAGGGGTGGGGCTTCAGTACTTTTCCTCATAAAATGTGCATGCACTGATGGCAGCCATTTTTTCTGAGTGAGGAAGAGAAAGTTACTACATTTGGTATCATTGAGAAGCTCTAAATGTCCTCTGTAGAAACCAAAAGGAGTTAATTCAGTAGTATGCAGTGGGTGGGAGATATTGAGGTTTAAAATGGTCCTCCACAGAGGACTGGATTTCCTAATCAAACTGTTTTTTTATCGGCATTTAAACTCTACATGATGATTGTTATTGCAGTTCAAAGTTATTGCTGTACGTCTTGGTAAACTCCGTCTTGCAGTTTGGTTAATTAATTCACTGATTGTAACAAATAGGAGGTGTCAGCTCAGTTGAGTTTCAAAAACGAAACAGTACTTTTGATTTAATTTGCAGCCAGCCCTGACCTTGGCAAACCTCAATTGGCCTCGACATGGAAAGCTGCCCGGAGCTGCTGTGGCCTTTCCAAAGTTCCAGTGGTGTGAGCGAGCCCTGTTAATACACACACCCTCCCTAACCGCTGGTGGTGAAATGGACGTTTCAATTACAGCACGGTGCACTGCTAATAGCACTTGGACTACGTGTCCAGCTGGATTCCATTTGTTGTCTCACTGGGAGATCGCCGGGGAAGATGTCACAAGTGATGGCCGATGAACGTGCCTTGGCAGGGAGCGAGGGGCAGCTGTGATGGTTGTATTTCACGCTCTGATTGACACCTCGGTTTCATCGCCCACTTTGGGAAGACCCGTGGTCGTAATGTACATATTTGGAGCATCACAGACCTGATGTCTGTTTTATTTCTCCCCTGGATGGGCATCCAGACTCAGAGGTTGCAATTATGATGATTGCTCTCATCTTATCCGGTGCGCTGCCAGCCAGCATACACGGTAAATGCCCACTTAAACATGAGCGGCTGAACTTTTCTGACAGGATTATTGCTGCCTTATTAGAGCATATTTGGCCTTTCTGGAAATAAAAGGATGGATGGATTGTGAGGCAGGAATAAGTCCAACTCAAAAACCACGGCAAACATCCTGGTAAACAACTTATAACAGAAAATTTCAGTGTGGTACAGTAAAAGTATGATTAACAGCCAGAAGGAAATTGCTTCGGTGAATTTATTTCCTTGCAGAAATATCACTAATTCAGTCACTGAGCGAACTCAAGATGTTCTCCTCCAGCTAAGTTTTAGGATTACATGACTACAGCTGCCAGGAAGACATCATTTTCAGTGTGTGTGTGTGTGTGTGTGTGTGTGTGTGTGTGTGTGTGTGTGTGTGTGTGTGTGCCACCATCACTCAGCTGTGAGGTATTTAGACATAGCTGAGTCACAACTGTTCAAACAGATACATTATTCCACGTGTCAACACATTGCAGGAGCCCAACCCATACACACACTCGCTGTATAGACAAGGACTCATCTGTACACATTACACACTGACCAAATAAACATGTGAGCTGTCTTTCTCAGCGTGTCTCGCCATGCGTTAAGGAGCTGGGAATAACCGGGTAAACTGGATGTTTACATCAACAGCGGCTATTTAAGCTAACTGAGGGGTGACTCATGACTTTTTAAATAAACTACTGTTCACCGGTGTGTCAGTTTAATTTTCATTTGATTTAATTTGTTGTTTTTGTAAAGATCAGCTTCTTAATGTTCTTTAAAAACACACAGACCATAGCAGGACTGCAAAACACAACAGTGTACATGTCAAAAGTGATATATAGCTGACAATTATGACGTCAAAGATTTAACCTTGTTTCAAAAGTCTATCAAGTGCAAATAGTCCGGGTCAGGAATGGATGAGATGTGTTACGGACTTATGTCATGAGGGAGTTAAAAGTAGAGCATTATAGTTGGGTGACTATACATCCTCTTTGACCCGGACAAGTCCTCTTTTTGGGGGGCTGTCCGGCCTTGTCCAGGAGAGTTCATAAAATCTTTCAGATGTACATAAAAGTGCGTAAAAAACACTCGACCCGACCCGAAAAACTCTCAAAATTTATAATGCGTGACTCCATGACCCTGCCCCCGCGTAGTCCTGTCCTCTTTTTAGGGATTCAGAATATGGTCACCCTACTTTATAGGTTATCAACAACACAGCTGCAAATATTAGTTTTACAACCATCACTGCTCTGCTGAGGCAAGGAAGCCTGACTTCTGATTGGACCTTTAACTGTCAGCTGGCTGACTGGTTTACATAACGTAACAAAGATGGCAGCCTTCCATTAGCATAGTCAGCTAACAACAGAAATCACTCGCTAAGATTGATAAATATATAATCCTAGATTACTTTTGTTTTTGAGGAGTTGGATCTGGACAGTCTCTGAGACACACAGAGGGAAAAGCCTCTGTTTTATGAAGTGAGTGGATTTCACTTGAAGTTCTTGTATTTGAGGTGTTTTGTTATTGTGTTGCATACAGAGCTACGTTGAAGGCATCCATAAGGGAACAGAGTAGCGTAAAGCCAAATGATGTTAAAAGCTCAAACTACTGGAGCCTAAAACTGTCATTTTCATTCATAGTGTCGCTTTAAACCAACCCAATGAGCCAACATGTGCATTTCTCTTTAATGGACCACATCTATGAATGTGGATAATCATTATTGGAATTAAAATTTCCCTCTTCTTGTTTTTTTTTTTCTTTCTTACCATTTAA